TTCTTGCGAATACTTAGAACACCATCGGGTGTTTCATGTGTTTCAGAACGTGCTACAAAACGGACATCGCGCGCGCGTGTCCAAATCGTTCGAGTGCCCATGCGCGCGTGCCGTCGCAAGAATTCTTTGCAGAAAATGAGACCAAGTGCGCGCGCGTCGTCGCGCGCACCTTCCGACATCCATCAACAACCATAGGTTTCGCAACGATGTCGAAACCGAGTGCCAAACAGAGATGCACAAACACATGGCACCCCAACTTCCAACAACAACTTATAGAACAAGAAATGCGCGCTCGCGCTCTTGCGACCTCTTAAGAACATCCTGGGTTTCTCAACATGTAATTCTGCCAAACGAGCCTCTGGCGCCGCATGCCGGAATAATTCGAACGCCCTTGCGCGCGTGCGGGGGGGGGGGGGGGGGCGCGATCCGCGTCGAATCGTGCCATGCGGGCCACTCTCGCGCGTCGGCCGCGCGCGCATGTCGAACTCTTTTCCAAGATGCTCATCACCGATGCGAGGACGCCGTCATCGTCGCCGGCGCGATCAGCATCTGCGCCGTCACTTGGCAATGCCGCCGTCGCTGTCAGCATCGCCAGCGTCGCATTGCCGCGTCCTCCGTCGTGGACTCTGCCATGGTACCGCGCCCGCCAGTCGCCGACTCGCGCTGAAGTGCCAGTTGGGATTTGCCCAGTGGTCAGCGCCGCCGCGGCTGCGTCGGTCTCGCCAAAGTAGCCGGCCGCTGCGCACGCGCGCGTGCGCGGGCTGTCGCGGCCGCAGGGATGCACCAGCGCCGAGCGCTCGCAATCGCCGCCGCGCGGGGCTTGCAAACCAAGCTGCGGGCGGGCGGGCGGGAGGTTTGCGCGAGCAGTGGAGCAGGCAACTTCAAGTTGAGCACTGGTGGATTGCCCTTCACTGATCTTTCGTTTCGCAAAGAAAATAAACTCGACCCACGCCCCCCTCCCCGGGATTCTCGCCCCCCTTTTCGCATTGCAACTTGCAGATGGGTCTGCCCCAACGTCCATCGTCAATCTAAATCCGCGCCATCCCAGCCAGGCAGGCATCCGCCCATCTTCTGCAACAGATTTCGCGCGCGCGGTTGATTATCACGAATCGTAAGTTGTCAGAAATCTCTGGCAACAAGTGGAACCAAGTGCACGCGCGCGCGTCGTCGCGCGCGCGCCGAAATAATCCGCAAACCCTCGGTTCCGTCAGGGCTCAGGAATCGGGCGCCCAAAAAATGCAAAACCATGTTCCCGACGCGCGGATTTCCCTCAGACAAAAAGTGCACGCGCGCTCTTGCGACATGTCAAGGGAACCACCGGTCTTCAACATGTGCAGAACATGTTACCAAGCGGGTTTCGCGCGCGCGTTGAACTCGCTCGAACGCCCTTGCGCGCGAGCCGTCGCGGGAATATGTTGCGCTCGCGCGTCTTCGCTCGCGCGTGCCGAAATCCGCCAAAAATATGAGGTTGTTGTAGCGATGTCAGAATCCAGTGTCCCAATCACATACAAGATCTCATTGTTTCGCAACTAAAAGCGCGCGCTCGCGCTTTTGCGAATACTTCAGACAATTTTCAGGTGCCCCAAGCATGTCCGCGGAATTTTACCAAACGAGCCTTTCGCGCCGCACGCCGACATCACTGTCGTTCGCGCGCCCTTGCGCGCGTGCTTTTTTTTGTGGGGGGGGACGATCCGCCTTTAATCAAACCATGCGGACCACCTGCGCGTCGGCCGCGCGCGCGCGTCGAACTCTTTCCAGGAACGTCGTCGCCGGCGCGCGTGAGGACGCCGTCATCGTCGCCAGCGTGATCAGCATCGGCGCCCGCACTGGTCGCGCCTTCGTCGTTGCCAACATCGCCACCAGCATCGCTACTATCATCATCGCGTCTACAATTGATGACATTGCCATGATACCGCGCCGGCCCAAGTCGCCGACTCGCAATGAAGTGCCCGGTGGGATGTGCCCGGCGGTCAGCGCCACCGCGGTCGCGTCGATCGCGCCAAACTAGCTGGCCGCTGCGCGCGCGCATGGGTTGGCGCGGCCGCGGAGATGCACCAGCCAACGCCGCGCATGCATCGCAATTGCCACCGCGTGGGTTTTGCGAACTGGTTTGCGGGTGGGCGGGTGGGATGTTTGCAAAAACATGGAATGCGTTAGCTCGCTCTGTAGAAACAATTCTTGTCCAAAAAAGAAAAAGAAAATAGACTCTACCTCCACCCCAGGACTATCCCATTTCACTTTCGTCTAGCAGTTTGCGTGTGATGTTGCCCCATCGCCCATCTTACATATGAGTATGCCAAGGGCGCGGCATCGCCCCCCCCCGCCATCCTTTGCAAATCGCACTCAGCGCACGCACTCGTTTATCAAAAACAAGCAGTTTTCAAGAACCCATTGCGCAACTATGAAACGAAGGGCACGCGCGCGCGTTGTCGCGCGCGCGCGTGCCGGAATGTTTCGACCAGTTTCGGTGCCGTAAGGATTTCATGGCCGAGTACCCAAAATATATTTATTTCATAAAAAACTGGGATGTGTTAGGTCGTTGCTTAAGGATCCATTGCACCATAAAGCCTGCACTGCAGATATTACACAGCATGTATGGAACCACGTCGTGTGCTAGAAACGCATTTGGGGGCACGCTTTGGTTAACGCACATGCGCATCCAGGATTACTGCGCGAAAATTATTGATTGCATACATATATATATATATGTATGTATATATATATATTATATATATATTTCTATATGTACGTAGGCGTAGCACCCCGTGTTGGCGGACAGAAGTGAGGTGGCGTGCGCGGTGGGGTCGCGGGTGCTTCGCGGGTGGGTCGCGGGGCGGGTTGCCGGTGGATCGTGGGCGGGTCGCGGGGCGGGCGCGGGCGCCGATGGGGTGTCGCATGGGGGGCGACAGCGACCGACATTGACCGCAGCATCGGCAAACCCGCAAATTCTGGGTCACGTCATTCACACACCCAGGGGTGTAACACCGCTCGGCCCCTCCATTTTTGACATGCGCATTCCTAGAACAGCGCTTGCTTTTTATAGGTTTTTTCATTCCTCCTCTGGGCATTTGGACTGGTGCGCCGCTCTGGCGGCAATGTCGTGGCCATCGCCGCTTCGTCGCCACCAGCGCGGCGGTCTGGCGGCTGCGTCGTTGCCGTTGCCGCCCCGTCGCCGCTTCGCCGCCGCCCGTCGCCGCCGGTGGGCTGACCCACGTAGATTGCACAAGACTATTAGGATATACCCCGCCCCCGCTTGGATTTGACCGTTCCCCGTTCCGTATTGCAATTTACACGCGAGTTTGCCCCATCGTCCATCCTGAACATGACTTCGCACCATCCCAGCTTGGCCGGTATCGACCCCCCTTTCATGTTGTTTCACAAAGATGTTATGCGCGCACTCGTTTATCATTTAACATCAGTTATCATTAATCATGTGTAAAAGCAAGACGACGCGCACACGTGCACGTCGTCGATCGCGCATGCCGAAATCGCTCAACACACATGGTTGTAGGATTCGTAAATATTTCACAGCCGAGTTTCCTGAAAACACAGAACCAGAAGTTTCGCAACGAGGATTTCGAGACAGTGCCTGCGCTCGCGCTCTTGCCGATTTGCTGTAAGAAAAGGTTTCTTCAAACGTTGTGTCATACCGTGCTACTAAACAGGCCTCGTCGCGCGCGCGCACGTCGAAATCGTTCGTTCGAAAGCCCTTGCGCGCGCGTGCTATCGCAATAATCGTTTGCAAACAACGGGACGAAATGCACGCGCGCGCGCGTCGTTGCGCGCGCATGCCGCAAATTGTCGACAAAAACAACGTTTCGTTAATGAAAAACGAGTGTCCGATCGATATCAGAGCACGTGGTTTTGAAACGGCAGTTGTCAAAACAAGCATGCGCGCGCTCTCGCGAGTTCTTCAGCAAACCATAGGTGTTTCGTTTCAACGTTGTCATCAAATTCTACCAGACGGGCCTCTCGCGCCGCATGTCGAACTCATCGGAATGCCCTTGCGCGCGTGCTGGGGGCGCGCGATCCGTTTCAAATAATGCCACGCGGGCCACTCGCGCGCGTCCGCCGCGCGCGTATGTCGAACTCATTCCAAATCCTTTCTTTACCACCGACGCGAAAACATCGTCATCATTACCGGCGGGCGTGATCAACATCGGCGCCGTCATTGGCTTTGTCGTCGTCATCGCCACCATGATCGTTACTTTCAGCATCGCGTTTATCGCTGTCGGCGTCGCCATGATACCGCGCCCGCCCAAGCCACCGACTCGCACTGAATTTCCCTTTGGGATCTAACCAGCAGCCAGCGCCACCGCGACCGCGTCGGTCGCGCCGCACTGGCTAGCCGCTGCGCCCGCGAGCATGCGCGGGCTAGCGCGGCTGCAGAGATGCACCAACCATCGCCAAGCATTCATCGCAATCGCCGTCGTATGGGTTCTGCAAACCAAATTGCGGTTGGGTTGGTGGACGGGATGATTTCGCGAGCAGTGGAGTTGACAGCTCAGTGCGAGCATGCTGGCGACTTGCACCACATATATTGCACCACGTATATTGCACAACACTGATTGCACAAAATAGATTGCACCACGTATACTGGTGCACAACAAGAACTGCACCACACAGATTGCACAACCTGGATTGCAACACGTACATGGCCCCACATCGATTGTTACATACAGAGTGCACAACATAGATCGGTAGAAACATATTGTTTGGGGCCCACGCTGGTTAACACACACACAAGTACATGTATACATATACATATATATATAGAGAGAGAGAGAGAGAGAGAAAGAGAGCGAGAAGAGAGAGAAGTGGAACTATACGAACAAAGAGATGGCGATAAAGATGATGATTGTAGGGTGGAGTTGTAGGGGGGAAGTGCTTCCCCGCTTCCCCCCTCCCTCCCGCCCCTCCTCCTTCCCGCTTCCCCTCGTCACCTCCCTCGCTGCTCCCCCCCTGTATATGCTCCCCCCCCTCTGCGAACATGTCCGCAGGCCACCATCTACGTGGGGAACCTGGACCCCAAGGTCGATGAGGAGCCCACCGCCAGACGCGCACTGACGTGGTGATAGCCGGCCGATGTCACTGTGGCGCTGCAACGGCCGGCATATTCCTCTTGTGGTTAACACGGGATGGTCTTCGAGCATTTCTTGTTGAGACCGCACTGACGTAGCACATCGGCTTCTTATATTATTTGAGCACGCTGTCGAGACTATGCGGCCTCGTTTTTGATTCAAGAGCACGTCGTACTTGGTCGAAGGGAATGTTGGGATGGTCGGTCCATGCTCAAGAGGTGGAATGATAGCAGGAAGATCCCAGAAAACCCCAGGAGATCCTCTGGGAAGTGATGCTGCAGGCCGGCCCGATCGCTAACGTGCACCTGCCGAAGGAACCGCTCTGGGGCGAGCGCGCAAGCGCTTTGCCGGGCTTTCCTTTTCCATGGCTCTCTTTGCAGCTGCTACTGCTCTCCTTCTTCCTTTCAGGCTTAGGAGGGAAAAACAACAACAACAACAACAGGCACAAGTAAACGTCAACGCCCGTGGTGATATTGAACATGCGCGAGGCGGGAGGGACGACGAACATCCAGAACATGTGTAAATATGGGGAGTCCTCGGATGTGTGTCAATTTTTTGGTGTGCCCCTGGGCTTCGTGGCATCCTCCCTCCCTTCTATGGGGGCTTGCCCCCGCCCTGTTACGAGGCGGCGGGTTGTCACAGAAGAGGCCACCCGCCACAAACAACATATACACTTTCTTGGATCCGCGGGTCGAGAGCGAGCCTCTTCCGGTCAAAGCTAAGCGGGCCGCGCACAGCTTTAATTGACAGAGAGGGGAAGGCAGAAGGAGGGGCCTCACGTCAAGGCCAAGAGAGGGCAAAGCCCCGGAATCAGGCGGTGCCGAAGGCGATGTGCATGCCAAGGAACGCCTTGTACAGGGCCCCAGTGGCGAAGTACCGGAAGAAGCAAAATGCTGTGGTGGTGGTGCCGTCAGCGGCGGACAACATATACACAGACACCCTCCAACGACTTCAACCTACACCGCCACCCTCCCTGAAGGTACATGCAAAGTTCGTCGGACGCTGTTTGTGTGTATATGTTCGTGGCGTAGGCCAGTTTCGCCGGGGGTCGGCCGACCCCTGCCTCATCATCCTCGTCCTGGCATCCCGCCTCCTCGTCACCCTCCTCGTCGCCCTCCTCGTCGCCCTCCTCGTCACCGCGGCCGTCATTTTCCAGGTTTGCGCCCGCCAGGTTTGGGGCCCGATGTCGTTTTCACTAAACAGGGTTTCTCTTGTGTTGCCTGGGGGAGGGCGCTTTATTTGGTGGGGTTCCTTACAGCGGGACCGAGGTATCAGATCGAGGTGTGTGTGGGGGCGGGCGTGTTGGTGCTCGATGCCTCGCTCTCTCGGATGGTCTCTGGCCAGTCTCTGTTTGGTGTGGGGTTCGTTCGTTGCCCTGCTGCCCCCCCATCACGGCGCTGCGGGCGCCCCTTCGCTGCTGGCCACGCTGTTGCGGGGGCGCGCATGCTGGTGTTCGACGTCTCGGGCCCTTCCTGTGGCGATAGCCCTGGCGCAACACTGCTGCATCCCTTCGCCGAGTCTTCCGCTCGAGCCTCGTCCTGGCCGCTGCTCGTGCTCGCCAGGATAAGATCACGAACACACACCAGGGCTACGGCTTCGTTGAGTTTAAGAACGAAGAGGATGCTGATTACGCTGTGAAGATCCTGAACATGATCAGGCCGCGTGCGCCAGTACTTGGCCTTTCTGATTGGCATGTTGTGTGCCAGCCCCGTGCGCATCTTTCTACATCCTCAACCCCTTAACTTCCCAGACATTCAGCCTCTCCAATTTTGTCGATGCGTGGGCCCCAGAGGTCTGGTCCTCTTCCCCCAGACGGCTTTTTCGTCCCGAGTCGTTGTTCGACGGCCCCGTGGCCTGGCGAGGGCTTCCCGGGGCCGAAAATGGACCAAAACTTACTCGCCGCTCCAAATTTTCTAGAGTGTCGGATCTCTCAGACACCGTAACGCCACAGCACCCGACGGAATTCGACCTGGAACGATCGGGGCCGCGTTCGGTTCAAGCTTGAACGATCGCAGCGGTGTCGAAAATTTCTGCGCGCGCCGGCGCCGCAGAAACCTACCGTACAGCCAGGCTTCCTGGATGGGGTCGGAACAGATGGGGTCGGGGGATCGCGCCGCACTGCTGATGTATCGGCGATACGGCTCGATGCGGAGCCCGATTCCCTCCATGCCGACGTCGCCGAGACGTCCCCGACGTCGCCGATGCCTCGCCGATGGCAGTGGCGGTGCGGCCCGATCCTCCGACCCCACCTGCTCAGACCCCATCTAAGGAACCTGCCGTGCGGCAGGTTCGCGCCGTGTCGGCGCGCGGCGAGTCCGCCGCGGGCGCTCGGTGGCGGTGGTCCAGAACCGACCAATCCAGCACGATCTGGCTTGACTTAAGTCGGGCGTGTCCCCCTACTGGGGGATTTCGACGAAAAATAAAGAATACCCCACAAATACCCCCAAATGGCAAAACAAATTATAAAAACATAGTCCCCAGACTTTATTTTTGGATTATTTTTAGGGTATTTTTTATTTTTCGTCGAAAATCCCCCTGTAGGGGGACACGCCCGACTTCAGGCTTGACCTCCTCCGCCCTCGTCGTCTTCGGCCTCCTCGTCGGCCCCAGCGGCTCAGAGCCGGCCGGCATCGAGCGACCCGCGCCAGCGGAAAGCCGCGATCGTTCAAGTTTTAAGTCGGGCGTGTCCCCCTACAGGGGGATTTTCGACGAAAAATAAACAATACCCCCAAAATAGTCCAAAAATAGTCTGGGGACTGTTTTTAAAGCATTTTTTTTGTTTTACCATGTTGGGACATTTTCGGGGCATTTTCATTTTTCGTCGAAATCCCCCTGTAGGAGGACACGCCCGACTTCAGTCAACTCCGAACGATCCACGCGGTGTCCGAGACCAACGCCGGCGTCGTCACGACGCGAGCCCGCCGCACACGGGCGCGGCGCGCTCACGGCACGGCGGGCGGCGCGCTCCTTCGCGCCCTGCCGAGAGCGCGCGGCGCGGCACGGCGTTAGCGCGGCGCTGCGCGCGGGCGCGGCGCGGCGCGGCAGGGCGCGCGGGCGGCACGTGTTTCTCTCGGGAGGGGGACGAAAGGGGGGGACTGGGAAAGGGGGGGACTGGGAAAGAGGGGGCGGACGAAAGGGGGGGGGGGACGAAAGGGGGGGACGAAAGGGGAGGATTGGCGCGTTTCTCTCCTGGGAGGGGGGGACGGAAAGGGGGGGATTGGGAAAGGGGAGTGGGTTCGAAATTTGGTGCATGCAGCTGGTTTCGGCTTCACCGAGGGGCCCATTCCTCGATACATGGCCGCCTCCGGCGCCGGGAGGCGCCGGGAAAGTCAGCTGCGTGAGCTGATTCTCAAACCCCCCCTTCGCTATCCCCCCCTTTCGCCCGACCCGATCTTGGGAGGGGAGAAGCATCGGCGTCATCCCAACATGCTAATACTGTGTGTGCGCCTCCCCCCCAGGGGCGCCGCGCGCACCGAGAAAAATCTCCCAGTACATGCGTCGTTGCGCGCGCGCGTTCTGGCCGTACCGCTCGGGAAACGATCTGATAGACTCTCTGTGTACTAGTGTGTTCGGGAGTGACTCGCGCCTCCGAGGAGGACACGTAGTACCAGCATGTCCCTGCGCGTCCCAAAACACAGACACGGTGAATCGTCGATTCCCTGGAAAATGCGGAGCGTACAGGAGGTGCTGGGGACAACGAGCATCCAGAACATCGCTTCAAAAACACGTGGGTGATCCTGGGGCTCGTGTCCACTCGCGTGCCTGGCATCGCTCGCACGTGTGCACTTTTCCCTCGGCGAGGACCATCGAGGAGCATCCTTGATCATCTGGTGACAAAACCACGCACGAAGCCGAACAAAAACACAGGGAATGGACGTCCGAGCGATGGCCAGTGCACTGCCTTGTGCCCTTGCACGCGCCCACCGCCCTGTACCTTGTGCCCTTCTCCTCCTCCTCCTCCTCCTTATCCTCCTCCTCCTCCTCCTCCCTCCTCCTCCTCCTCCTCCTCCCTCCTCCTCCTCCTCCCTGGCAGCGCGATGGCAGCGGCTCGTGCCCACTCGCGTGCGCCTCCCTGGGCCACGCCCGCACTCCTCGCACGCCCGAGCGCACGGCGCGACGCGTGGGCACGGCACGGCACGGTCTGCCCGCGGGCGGCAGACCCCCGGAGAACCGACGCTCCAACGGCACGGCGGCGGCCGGCCGGGGGCCCCGCTCGGCCCCGGGGGGCCCTCGCGGGGCATCCCCGGAGATCCGACGCTCCAACGGCACGGCAGCGGCCGGCCGGGGGCCACTCTCGGCCTCGCGGGGCCATCGCGGGGCCTCGGGACCGTCGAGAGACGACCCAGGGCGAAGAACCGGTCCCAGGGAAGAGGTCCGGACCTCGGGGGCCATTCTCGGCCTCGGGGGGCCATCGCTTACCAGCCTCGAACGTATCCTTATCCCTAAGATTGACACGCCCAAAGGCGATGACAATCTCAGGGGTTCGCCCTCAAAAATCAGAGAATCCCTAGGATTGGCATCGTGATGAGGAGGTGCCCAGCATAGGGATAGGGATATGTTCCAGGCTGGTAAATCGCGGGGCCTCGGGACCGTCGAGGAACGACCCAGGAGACGAAGAACCAGGTCCCAGGGAAGAGGTCCAGGCCTCGGGGGGTCCACGCATTGGAAGAATCGGAGCGCCGGGCGTGTTTTTGGGACTTCCGCAGTCCAGAACGCGGGCACGGCGCGACGCGTGGGGACGGCCCGGCATTCTAGAGTAAGTCCCAAGCTGGTTCTTGTAATGCAGATGGGACCCATATGGCTTTCGTCGTCCAGGGAGTGTTCTGGCTTCGTTGTCGTCCTCGGTTGCGGCACGATCGTGGCATGCAGGCTGATTCATTGTGTCCTCGTCGGTTCGCGCGGCCCTTTCTGAACTCAACCCCGGGGAGGGGAAGGAGGGGAGGGACAATGACGAGGATCCGAGCCAGGCTCTTCGGCAAGCCGATCAGGTGCAACAAGTCTTCTCAGGACAAGAAAACTAGCGAGGTGGGCGCCAACCTCTTCGTCGGCAATCTGGAGCCCGAGGTTCGGGATCGGGCGTGCGCTATGTTTTGAATCGCTGATGTTTGAGAGCGCCGTTATCCATCAGAGCACCACTGGATGTCTCGCCCTCCTTGTGGTTGTGTTCCTCCTAGACCTTGCTATTCGCCCCTTTCTGCCGTCACTCCCTTCTCATCCCTCGGCGTTTCGTAGGGTTCTCCATTTGCTTATACCTCATTGTCATTTTGCAATCCACAAACTCAACAGCAAACTATTGGCGTGTGTTGGGTCTGGGTGCCGCAGATTCTAGAAGAAGCTACCACTGAGACACATTCACCACATGAGATAACAACGAGCGAGCATCCAACATTGGGATCCTTCACGATGCCGATGCTCTACTTATCTTGGCTCGCTAATTTTGATGTGCAACATACAGTCCATCAAGGCCAGTGCGTGAAAAGAGGTTATTTTAACAGCCCAAACGACCAGTGATATATTTTGAATTGGCGATGATAATGGAGTGAGGGAGGGAGGAGGGAGGGAGGGAGGGTAGACTTGGGAGGAGGATCAGACACAAGGTGGAGGATGTATTGGGCAAGTGGGCAAAAGGAAGGAGAGGTGTGCTGGGAGAGAAGAAGACTTACATATTTTTACGCTCGCTCTGCGGGGCCGTCTTAAGAGCAGCGGAATCACTGGCCACCAACTGACGCTCGGGAGGAACCCCAGGCATTGCCGATGCCGACGCGTCTCCACCGAATCGTACTCCGAGGGAGGGAGTGGAGGTGGAGGGGGAGGGTGATAATGGGGGGATGAGGGGAGGGAGGAGAAGACCACGCCAACTCCTGTCTGAGATGTCTTCCTGTCTTCCCGGGTTCAAGCTCAGAATTGATACCACCGATCTCTCCCCGTACTCTGCCCCTCGCAGCCTGCCAAGCTGGTAGCGTGCATTGGGTCGAGGGGACAGAGGGCAGGGGATGAACTGTGCACAATGATGAGTGGGCGGATCAGGCGGGAGATGCAAGGCTCAGCCAGAGTTGCTGACGTTGCGGCTTCTGCTGCTGCCACTGCCGCAGCTCAGCGATGCGAAAGGAGGGCACGTGTGGTGTTGGTGTGCCGCATCACCCTCTTGAACGCTCCTTTGCTCCCCCGCTCGAGATTTGCCACTCTCGTGGCCTCTTCCCCGCAGCTGCGCCGATTTGGCACCGCGCAGGTGGTGGATGAGTCAGCGGAGGAGGGCAGGAGCGCGTTGCAACGCGGAGGTTGTACACTGTGGCGTTGCTTGGCACTGCCGTGTCCACGTGTGCGGATGGCCGTGCGTCAGGACTCTGAAGAGGCGACCGACCGCGCACAGACGCAGGCCGAGGAGGCCAGTCCTTGAGACGCCAGCGCGCAGACCTGGGGAGGTAAGTCCCGCGGGCGCCTGCGACGCCGCTCGTTGGCGCGGGGCGGTCGTCCCGAGGCCGCTTCCTCCTCCTCCTCCCCCTCCTCCCCCTCCTCCTACTCCTCCTCCTCCTCCTCCTCCTCCTCCTCCTCCTCCGCCTCCTCCTCCTCCTCTTATCATTGTGGGTCGGAATGTGGGCTCCCCTGGAAGCCACCCACCCAGTGCTGCGCAAGCGTTCGGATTCCGCAGCGTCGCATGCCCTGCGATGCTGTTCCCAGCCCAGGATCTGCAGCCCTGCATCCCCAATCCCGGCTCACGGCTGCTGAGTCTCCTCTGGCTACATGATGAGTCAGCAGAAGGACGAGGAGGAGAGAGAGATGAGGAGTGGTATGCCTCACGACTGTGTATGCCGCTAGGCTGCATGCCTCACGGCTGCGCACTGCTGTTCAGCTGATGAAGCAATATTTCAATCTCCTTCATACAGTCGGGGCGCTGAAGAAGGAACCCTTTTCGTTGGGGAGGGACTCGGTGTTCCTCGATTGTTTTACCGATTGCCACAGGTTTTCCTTAGGTTTTCCATGGGAACAGAAGTAGAACTTATGGCAAAAAGGGGCCTCGGTCCTTATCTAGGGTTCCTTAGGTCAACGCCCCGACTGTATTGCTCAACGTTGTGCTAAGCATCGTCGCATTCATTGTCAGCGTGCCCTGCTGCACAGGCGCTGGCTGCATGCCTTGCAGGCTATACTGCATCGCCACTTGCGTCTGCGATGCCCAGTGGTCGCGTTTGTTCTTTGGCGCATCTCGCGCACGGCACCGAGAGCAATCCCAAGGCTTTATTTAGACGCCTCGCACGTGCTTGATACATGTTACTCGTTTCCCACGAAGCCGTCCAAACCCAGGGTGGCTTTGAGGATGCATCAAATGGCGGAACTTGGCTGCCACGAAGGTCAAGTTAACCAACGCGCATATCCGGTTTATGGTTCATTGATGGTCATCTGAATGCCGACGAGTTAGCGCACTGCGGGGCCACTTCGGATGCGCAGGAGGCACATGTTCCTGTCGCGGAGCAGCCTTTCCCTGGCCGTTGTTGAGATCACCCGGCTTCACAGGGAGGTGAAGCGGAGTGTCATTGTTTGTTGTTGCCCAGGCGGGAGCCGCCAGGCGACGATGCGAAATGATTTTCCGCGCTGCCCCCCAAGCGTGGCTCTGAGCGGAGCCGAGCCGGGCCGAGACAAAATTCCGCTATGTGGGTACATCTAGGGTAGGCAGAGTCCCAGAGAGCCACCAAAGACGCCAGAGGCCCAGGCCTAGCGCTCACGACGAAAACATCATCATCATCATCATCATCATCATCATCATCATCATCATCATCATCATCATCATCATCATCATCATCATCATCATCATCATCATCACATTCCGAGCAGGATTCGCTGTCGGCGTCGCCGCGGTCGTTGCCCATTTGAGAGACACGCTAGCCTGCCCAGCAGCGGCTCGTGCCGGTGTTTGGCAACATATGTTTTGGGGCATCGTGCTTATTTTTTCGTACGCATCCTGGTCGCTCAGAGGGAGGGGAGTGGATGGGGTCAGATCAGGCGAGGTGGGACGGATTATCGTGGGCGGGGACTGCGGCCTGGAGGCTGGGAGGCACACAGTCGCGCGGGGAACAGGAAGCAAGAGTCTAACATCAGGCGTTCAGGCCTCCCAAATTCAGGAGGGGAAAAAACACACAGACACAATGAATCGTCGATTCCCCAGAAAATATGGGAAAATATGGGAATTGGGCGGGAAGACAGAAACCCAGAAAATATGCGAAAATATGGGGAATCGTTTTATTTGAGTGTATCTATTAGTGTGTCCCAGGGCCCCTTCACAAATGGGGTCCGAGCAGATGGGTCGGAGCATCGCGCCCCATCGCCGAGGCATCGCCGATGCGGCTCGATGCGGAGCCCGATTTTCTCCACGCCGACGTTGCCGATGCGTTGCCGACGTCGACGAGGCATCGGGGATGCGGCGCGATCCTCCGACCCCATCTACTCGGACCCCACTTGGGAGGCCTACAGTCACGCCCCTCCTCCCTCCTGCCTCCTTCCCTCCCTCCCTCCCTCCTGCCGCGCCAAGGTGGACGAGAAGATGCTGTACGACACCTTCTCCGCCTTCGGGGTGCTTCTGTTCGCGAAGATCATGCGAGACCCGGACGTAGGCCGCGGCTTCCTGGCTCCAGCCTTCTGCGAGGGCGATGGGGGGATTGGAGGAAGATGAGATGGAGGAGGAGGAGGAGGAGGAGGAGGAGGAGGAAGAAGGAGTGGCCCAAAAGGATTGGGGGACGAGGAACAGGGACGACGATGAGGAGGGCGAGTAAGAGAAAACGAGGAATATGAAGATGAGGATGAGCACGAGCAGGTAAGGGGAGACAGGGAGGACGGAGGAGGGTGCAGTGATAGAAGCAGGAAGAGAGGAAGTGAGGGAGGCAGTGCGAGAAGGAGTTTGAGGAGGATCAGCAAGAGGAGGAGTAGGAGGAGGAGGAGGAGTATCAGGGAAGTAGGGATTTAGTGATTTTGGCCGCACGAAACTTGAGAGATTGCGTCCGCCCGTCCATCCCGAAAGCATTGCACCTCGACGGCGTAGGGTTTTGACTCCCCTTCCCCGTGCAATCGCAGCGGGGTGGGCAAGAGTTCCTCTGCCTGCAACGCAACAGATGCGGGCGGATTGCTCAGCGAGCCCATGCAATCGTTGACGTAGCGGTGACGGAGCTCTGCTTTGCCCCACCTCGTCCTCCTCGTCCTGGTTTCCTCCCTCTGCCTCCGGTGTTCGTTGTTATGTCCTTCCTCTTTCTCGTTCTTCCGCCTGCTCCCCAGACCACGTGCGCACGGAGGCCAGGGCAGCTGGGCGGGAAGCGGCACTGGCCCCTCGCCCACCTGGCTGCTGTAGAGGGAAAGTTGGCCAGGGCCGCCGCCGCGCGCGGCGGAGCGCTGCGTTCTGCCATGCAGAAGTTGGCGCAGGGGCCGCCGCGTGCGGGCCAACCCTGGCACTTGCCGCGCCGGCGTCTGCCGTGCGCAGCGGCGAGGGCCGCCGCGCGTGCTGCGCTCCTGCCCCCTCGCGCGCACTGTATGTTCTTCGCGCCGGCCGGGCACGGGCCGCCGCGTGCGTGGTGGCCCTGGCTCCTCGGGCACCGATTCGCAGCGCCAGTCCCCTTCTCTCCGGGCCAGCCTCGTTCTGGGCCCCGTCCCACGAGGCCCGCTCGCAGACTGCGAGGGCTTCGCGCCGCAGCTTCGCTGGCGCTCGCGAAAAGTGTGCCGCAGCGCTGTTCGAGATTTTTGTTGCTGAGCACAAGCCTTGCTCACCCGAGCAGGATCTCCCTCCAGCGCAGGTGGTCCGCGCCGCTCCGCACTGGCGCATGTGTGGTTCTGCGCGCAGCCCGTCTACCAGCTGGAAGCCTATCCCCATCCCTATGCTGGGCATCAGCCTGCCCCGGTGCGGATCTCAAGGAATCCCTCCGTGCCTGAGGGCACATCCCCTGAGATTGCCATCGCCTTTGGCTTGCCGATCTTAGGGGCAGGGACGAGTTCGAGACTCGCCGGCCTGTGCCAGGGCCGCCGCGCTCGGCGGTCTTGGGCCCTCGTGCACGGGCGCTGTTGTATAGTGAGTGGGCCAGGGCTACCGCGTGCGCGGCGGCCTTGCCCCCTGGGGCGGCCCTGCCTGCATCGGGGGCCCAGCCCAAGAAACTCCCCGCTTGCCTCCAGGGTGCCCTGGGTTTCTTGGGTTTCGATGGTTTTGTCATGGGAAACGTGACGTTCCCACGCCAAAAATCAATGGATGTCCTGGAGTCTCAGGGTTGGCATACGTCCACACGGTGTGCGGCGGGTTCTTGAATCCCCACACATTGTTATGTGAAGTGTCTTGGGGAACGGGCGTCCAGCCAGGCAAGCTGTATTGCGAATTACCTGAAGAACATCTTGTCGCCGACGCCAATCCGCACTCGCCAGACAATTTTAATTGTGAATGTTTGACGCATCGCGTGTCCCTACCAGCCCATGCCGACAAGGTCGGAGGGTTTCTTGAGGCCTCTTGGAGGCTATTTGAGACATGTTCGGCTAGAGGCTGTCGGAGGCTGATCCTGAGCCATGGTCAGCTATCTTGGACCATCTTGAGGCTGTCTTGAGCCTTCTTGGCGGTATGTCGGAGGCTAGCTCAAGCCATGCTCGACCTCTTGGGACCATCGCGGGGGTAGGTGAGTTTCAATACCGTGAACCGTCTCGATCCTTCGTTCCGCCGCGTCGCTTTCGTGGGGTGGCTGGGAGGGGGGATTCTCAGAGGACGCCAGGATCCAGGAGATGGAGAAATTCTTGAAAACACATTGCCCTTCGTTCCGCCCAGTCGGTTTCGGCAACGATTTCACGGGCCACTACAACAACCAGAGATTGTCCAAGGGAACGCGGGTCGAATTCTGCAGCCCTGCCATGGCTGAATCGTTTTTGTCCCGCGCTCAGGCCTCCAAGTCTGATCTTAAAAGCGAGGGCACCGTGCTCCAGGCGGAGCCCGCCCGCACACATTACCAGAAGAAGCAGAACTACGCCCTCGGGAAGGCAGAGAGCTTGGTCAAGGAGTCGGGCACCGCCTCCAGAACGAACGTGGAGACCTTGTGTAAGGTGGACGGCTCGAAGGAGCGGCACGTTATCGTGAATACGGAGGTTGGCTTCAAGCAGTGCCAGGACGATGTGACGGGCACTTTCTTACCTCCTTATGCCCCTTTCTCTATCCCATAGGGGTGGCTTGGGGCCGCCCTTCAACATGACGTGCACCCGTTCAAGCGAAGTCACGATATTTGGTCCGCCCGCCATTCTATGGCAGAAAAGCGGCCCCGCCAGTTGGACATCCGACGAGCTCGTCGCCGTGGTCCTCGTTCCCATGATGCTCTCTTGCCCAAGCGCCGCCTGTGGCATGTCCACGTGGGTTCCCAACGCCTTCCTGGCGACAGCTCGCGGAAATCCGAGCTTGAGTCGCCAGTTCCAGATCTATGGTTCACCATCATGCACGTTAGCCTGCGCGATTCTGTTTCTCACAGTGCTGAGTTGCACCACGGTGCAGCAAGCGTGGCCCCTGGATGCACTTGCCATCATTGAAACTCTTTTGAACCCTTTTGTTCGCCATATTGTTTTCGATGGCTGCGCTCAGGCCTCCAAGCTGGACCGGCAGGGTGGGAGGAAAGGGGGAGGCATCGTGTTGTTAGCAACGGAACCGTTTGTTTCCAGTATTCTCCATGTTTTGGGTTATTCTGAATATGAACGCAGTTGGCATATTCTTCACACGAATCAAGGGCCAGTTTTGTTCGTTGTGTGGTACCGCCCCCTTGTCATGGTGACGTCGTTTTTGCTCGCTCTTCAGAGTTGGAGTGGGAGTCCTTGCGCCACGTGGCGGTGCCTACCATTATTGTGTATATTCGCGCAACAACACCCTGGAGGGGAAGGAGCTGTAGCACATGTGCGGCATAATGGGGCTGATGGGCAAGGTGGGGCAGCCTACGCGTGGAGCTTATGTGTTGGATTATGTTATTACGGATTTGTTGTCCGACGTTGTTTGCAAGGTTTGCCGGATATCAGCGACCACAGAATTGTCCTTGCCCGCGTTTCGTTGTGCGTTTTTTTTGTTTCTTCAGAGCCAGTCACTCGTGAGCAGTGGCATTTTTAGCGCCGCTGATTGGAGTGGTCCATGCAACGTTTTGTGTTCTACTGATTGGCGGGATTTGTTCGAGGTTGCGACGCCGAGGTTGTTGTTGCGAAGTTTTCTGGGCACCCGACACATATTGGAAAGACGTGTATTCCGAGGCACCAGACGTCCTCTCGAGATTCATTTAATTTTTGGTTGAATGACAGATGCCGGTAACTGATCGACCAGAAGACCAGGCGATCGGCACCGCAAAGTACGCGCACAAACAGAAGTTATGTCCGAACGGTCTTCGGAGCGAGCACGCGAAGTACGTAGCTCGCAGTCGGCAGCGTACTGTTGCATTGAAGCCTTCATCGATCGAGTGGTGATCGCTGTGCAATGCATTGTTGCTCTGGGCTGGTCAGTCTTCGTATCCATCGATCCCTCCTCTGCTGGATGGTTTTGATCGTTGGGCAACCGCTCGACAAGGCAGAGCAGATTTATTCAAGACGTGCTTCAGTGCGAAATTTAGGTTTACCCGCCACATTGGAAAATGAGGTTTCTAATGCAAGTGAACATCCAGATCAATTTATGCCTGGTCTTGCACCCGTTCGAGTGCGAACCGTATTTCGACTGCTACGTAAATTGCGGGAAGATTCCAGTGTTGGCCCAGATGCCATCTCCGCTCTCCTCCTGACGCGGTGTGCCCGTGAGTTTGCGCTTCCTCTAGCTTGCATTATTCGCCTCGCGGAAAGTTCATCGGATGTTCCCATTACTCAAGAGAAGCAGACGGTCGCAGCCAGGTAACTACAGAGGCATCCGTTTGACGTCGCACATCTCGAAATCCGCCGAGAGGGTGTTCGCTAGTTTCTTTTTGCCGTTCTTTGAGGCCACAGGCGCATGCGGCCAGAACCAGTTTGCGCATCGCTGAGGCCGCGGGTGCAAAGATGCACTCGCCTTCGCCGTTTGCAGCTGGAATTGGGAAATTGGTCGCGGCAAGCGCGTGGGCTTATATTGCTCGGGCGTTTTCAGGTGCCTTCGACCGAGTGCGCGCCGCGCGGTTGGTGGAACAACTGAAGATGAAAGGCGTTGACGACGCGTTCTTGAAAGTCAGATCATCTTGGCTCGCGCCCATAACAGCTCGCATTGTCGTTGACGGCGTGCTCTCAGAACTTCTCGAGCTGAAGGACATGGTCTTCCACGGGACTGCGCTGGGGCCGCCTTTCTGGAATGTGTCTGCTCTGGCGCGAGCGAGGCGATCGCACTTCTGGGTTTCCTTGAAACGGTCTTTGCAGACGATTTGAATTGCTGGCGCGTGCTCAGCGGCACCGCCATGGGCAGCGCGGTACTCGAACAAGTTGGCGCATGCCAGTCAGCAAGTACTGCATACGCGGGGGCATGCAAACCATGTGCTGTTCGAGCCGTCTAAAGAAAGCATGCGTATCCTAGATAGGACGTGCCCGCTTGGTGGATTGCTCAACACATTTCGTGCTATATTTGACCCACGTATGGACATGCATCTAGCGGCGCAACACTTTGCCACAGAAGCTTGCTGGC